GGGGCCGCAGCATGGGGCGCTTCCGCGGGGGCCTGCGGTGCATCAAGTACCTGCTGCTCGGCTTCAACCTGCTCTTCTGGGTGAGACCCGGAGCCGGGAGGGCAGGGGATCGGGCGCGGGCCGGGGGCGCGGGGCCGGCATCCTTGGGGGTTCTGACCGCTGCGGCGTCCGAGCCGGTCTCTGGGGAGCAGGCTGGGCTGGGGGACAAGGCGGAGGCAGGAGACCGGCAGACAAAGAGGGAGGGGAAGGAGGCCTGGAGGGGGAGGACGGGGCTCCGAGAAATGGTGCCCAGGGGAGAGACACCGCGCGGCTCCTCCCTGCCAGGCGCGCCTGCCCTGCTCGGTCCCTCCCGGCTGATGACGCCCGTGCGGGGACACCGGCCTCGCCGCACCTCGTCGGGGCTTGCGTCTCCCCCAGCCCCGCTCGCTGCAGCCCCGCGTGCACACACACCCCCTTCTCGCCCTGCCTTCGCGCTCCGCCGGGCCTGGCGGTGCCGTGGGGCGTGGGAGAGAAAACCCTGCCCGCGGGCTGCCGGGCGTAGTGCCCCCTCCTGAGGGCGTAAGGCACCACCTAGCTGCGAGGGTTTGTCTAGGAAATTGAGGTGGGAACGAAAATAGGGTGGGGTGCCCCCGGTCCTATTTCTGAACCTTAGGGGAGGGTGCAGCTGGAGGAGAGGGCGCCGGGAAGGGAGGGGTAGCCGCCTTTCTGCACAACCCCCCACCCGCAGCCTCTGTTAAATACTAATACTGTCAGCAGAGATGATCTCATCCAACTTTGCGGCCTTTGATTGAGAGACAGCTTTCCTGGGATCAGCTCACAGGGAAACCCGGCTGGGGAACTATCGCCTTGACCCTTGTCTGGGGGCTGACGGGGCGGTTAGGGCTGATCCCAGGCCCTGAAGGACTGTGAGACAAGATCTGAAAAGGGTCTTGTCTGGACCTTCCCCCTTGGACTGTGGTTTAAGAGACAGTCGACCAGTGTAACTTCCCAGCTCCGAGGCTCTGAGGGAAATCCGAGTGCAGCTCTGGGCAGAGGACACTGGATGTCCTAAACCAGGAAGGGAGCAGCGGGAGCCTGGGTGCATTGGAACTGCTAGCATGAAGGAGGGTGGTTTGGGAAAGTTATCCTCCCAAGACTGCTGCTAGCTAATTCCTGAGGGTGGCCTTTCCTGTAGTGCCTGCCCAGCCCATTAGCCTAGAGCCCAGTTAGCTCGGCAACTCCAAGCTCTCCCGTCTTTAGCATCGGGTACCCCGAGGACAGCCCTTCACTTAAAAACAACAAATAACATTAGGCATCTCCATCCAACATACCATACCCACTGCCATGGGGTAGATAGCGATACGACACGGGGGTTCCTAGACTGTAAATCTTGAACAGAAAAGACAGCCTCAACTTTCTTCTGAAGAGCCACTGGGGAAGCTGAACCTCTGACCTGGTGGTTAGGGGACCCAAACAAACTCCCTGCCAATTCTGACTCACGGCAACCCCACAGGATGGGCTAGAACTGCCTCTGTGATTTTCTGAGACAACTCTTTAAGGAAGGAGAAAGCCTCTTCTTGCTCCTGCAGAGCGGCTGGTGGTTTTGAGCTACTAACCTTGCAATTAGCAGCCCAACTTGTAACCAGTCTGCCTCTGGGGCTCCTGCACAAAATTGGAGGATAGGGTTTTTCCACACACAGGTGCGACAGACAGAGAAGAACTGCCCATACAATTCCCTTGGCCAGAATCTTTACAGGAGTCTGGGTTGCCACAGTGGTTTACACATTGGGCTGATAACCACAAGGTCAGAGTTTCGAACCCACCAGCCATTCTTCAGGAGAAAGATGAGGCTACCTGTTCCTGTAAAGCCTTGGTGGTACAGTGAGTAAGCACTTGGCCATTCACTGGAAGGTTTTTGTTCGAACCCACCAGTAGCTCCACAGCAGAAAGGTGTAGCCATCTGCCCCAGTAAAGATCACAGCCTGGTAAACTATGGGGCTGTTCGATACTGCCATGGTCAAATGAGTTAGAATCAACCCAACCACAGTGGGTTTGAATTTAGTGAGGAACCTGCACAGCACGCTTCTCTGGGTCTTTGAACTGCCAACCTTTCAACCAGAAGTTAGCTGCCAAGCACTTCACCACTGTGACAGGCTCATTTTCAAAGGCTGTCCCTTCTAGATGGCATGCAGCCACATCACCTTTCACTCTGGTTGCTTCTGCCTCCCGAGATGGATGTTGTGCCAGAGACAGCTGGCAGCATGTACTGAATGTTGGAGGCACATACTATTATTATCTCCATTTCTTACAGATGAGGAAAGGCTTCAGTGGCTTAATTCCTAGTGAGTGGTAGAGATGGGCCTCAAACTCGGTCTACATGTTCAATAATAAGCCCTGTATTACATTCAACCGTGGTGGCATAGTGGTTACAAGGTGGGCTGTGATCTACATGGTCAGCAGTTTGAAACCACCTGGCAGCTCCTCTGAAGAAAGACTGGGCTTTCTACTCTAGTAAATGGTTACAGTCTCAGAAACCCCCACAGTGGGGAGAGGGGGGGAGTGACACTATGAGTCAGCATCAACTCGATGGCAGAGAATTTGAATTGACTCACAGTGAGCCTATGGAACAGGGTAGAACTGCCCCTGTGAGTTTCTGAAGCGGTAACTCTTTTCAGGAGTAGAAAGTTTGAACTTTCTCCCAAGAAGCAGTTATTTGGTAGTTTGGAACTGCTGATCTTGTGGTTAGCAGCCCAATGCATAACCACTGGGCCACCAGGGCTCCTTACAGTCAGCTAAGCCAATGTTTTCTCAAAGCATGGCTCTTGGGCCAGCGGCATCAGCATTACCTAGCAACTTATCCCAAACACAGATTCTCAGACTTGCCACAGACCTGCTGAATCCAAAATGGGGGAGGCGGGGTGGGGGGTGATGGGGGAGGGTGGATCAAGTAAGCCAGACCTCCAGGGAATTCTGATGCATTTTTAGGTTTTGTTTAAGGAAACACAGCTCCTGTTCTTTGAGAAACTAGACCAGTAAAACATAAGACAGCATGCAATCAAGTGAGCATCCACACAGTAAGGGTGGGAGAAGGAAGAAAGCCGTGTTTGAGTGGCTACTATGTGTTAGGCACTGTTGATAAAAACCAAAAAGCTCTCACTGCCGTTGAGTTGATTCTGACTGATAGTGGTCCTACAGGGCAGACAGAGTATGCCCCTGTGTGTTTCTGAGACTAACTCTTTACGGAGTAAAAAGTCTCCTCTTTCTCCCATGGAGCAGCTGTGGCTTTAGAACTGCTGACCTTTTTGGTTAACAGCCCAACTCGTAACCACTATGCCACCATACTCAATAAATGTTAATTAATAAAATAACTATTAATAAAGAAAATGTTTTGAAAATGATGATGGCAACACATGTACAAATGTGCATGTCACAATGGATGGATGGATGGATTGTGCTAAGAGTTGTATGAGCCCCGATAAAATTATTTTTTTTAATGTATTGTTAAGTACACATAGGAAGCGTTCAATAAATATCAGCTCTCTTCCCTCTGATTCTTTTAATATAGGAAAGTAGGGTATATGTGTTCCAAATGACTTGTGACTTGTCATCATGTCAGATAATAAGATCATTAGACCTTGTCCTCTCCATTTATACCAGTGTTTCTCAACCTTCCTAAGCCGCGTGACCCTGTAATACAGTTCCTCATGTCGTGGTGACTCCCAACCATAAAATTGTTTTCATTGCCACTTCATAACTTTAATTTTGCTACTGTTTGAATCGTCATGTGAATATCTGATGTGCAGGATGTATTTTCATGGTTATAAATGAAACATAATTAATGCATAGTGATTAATCACAAAACAATATGTAATTATATATTGTGAAATATTTATGTGTTTTCCAGTGGTCTTAGGCGACCCCTGTGAAAGGGTCTTTTGATCGCCAAAGGGGTCGAGACCCACAGGTTGAGAACCGCTGATTTATACGAATGGGATTTTCTGCGAGCCTGGATTCTCTGTTTTGCTCACTGCTGTACCCACCAGGCCTGGCCCAGTGATGCGCAGCATTGAGTCAATACAAGGATAAGTCAGTAAGTGTAACTACGAGGGTCCCCATTCTTACTCACAGGGCTGTATTCCAGATGAACCATGTTTAAGCATGTCTGCAGTCAGTGGCTGGCTGCGACCAGTTCTCTCAGTGTTGTTGTCTCCTTAGCGAGCCTTCAAAAGACCCAGTCAGAGCAGCGGCTTCTGAGGGCTTCTACTGCGTCGTTAAACTCCAGGCAGAGAAGCCAGCTCGGAAGGCTGTGGCAACTGGATCTTGGACCTGCCGAGGCGTGATCTTGATAGGTTTGCCTGAAGAACGCAGGACAATCACGGGGGCTTATTAAGAAAGTATAAGACCATTGAACTCTGAATTGGTGAGCAAAAGACCAAGAGAATTGCACAGAGGAGTATTAGGAAACATCACAACACATTTGCTCATTCTTCTAGGAGAACGTGGACTGTTCGTGAGAACGTCATGAGGAATCCTCATCTACTTGACAGCCCCAAACTTGCCCCTTCAGATTTCTTTCTGTTCTCCAAACTGCTGTTTCGATGTAATATAAATAAAAGAGTGCAGAGGCTTTTTTGGTTGGTTTTTTGGGGGTGGGTGGGGGCCGGGTTGAGCAGGCCTAGTGGCATAGAGGTTACACTACCATCTGAAAGGTCGGCAGTTCGAAACCTCTGGCTGCTCTGGGAGAGAAAGACTGGGTTTGGGGGCTTTCTACTCTCAGCCTGTGCTCGATGGCAGTGAGACGGAGATCAAGGAAGTGGAGGATGACTAGCTTCACATTTTGAGACTTCAGTTTCAGGAAAAGTTTCTATGACTTTGTAGCGCTGCTTTGTGTTTGTAGAATGAATGCATGAGTCTGCAGGTGAGGGAATTTGGTAGCAGTGGCCCTCCTGATTGGCACAGATAATCAGTTACCCACTTTATCAGGAAGGCTGAGCTGAGACCTGACCCATGGCCTGCTCTTTACCTATCAGTTCGTTCTTGGGATAAGCTATCTAGACGTCTGTCTACCTTCAGCAAAAGGAAGGAAACCTGGTTCCAGAAA